CTGAGCAGGGAGCCCATGCGGGACTTGATCTCAAGACTCTGGATTGACCTGAACCAATGGCAGATGCTTAACTGACTGAGCCACCTGGGTACCCCCGTACTTTTTTTTAAGATCTTATTTTTAAAGTAATCTCTACACCCAGCGTGGGGCTTGAACTCACAACCCTGAGGTCATGAGTCATGTGCTCTACTGACTGAGACAGGCAGGCACCTCTGTACTTTTTTTAAAAGCAGGTTTTTCCATTTTCTATTGTTGTGTCCCCCTCCCTCACTTTTTGCACTGCAGTCTAGCTGGGTGATCTATTGTCAACTAGCACCAATTCTCCAAGTCAAAGTATGCAAGGAAAATACACTTGTATGATCCTCTTTAATAGAAGATACACGACACATTCTGTCTCGTTCTGCCTCCCAGAAGTAAAATAAAATAACTAGAAGGCCTGCCCCTCTTCTACATATTTGAATTTCAGTTCTGGAAATTTCTTCAGCCTGTCTGTGCAAGAACCCCTTGCTTGATAATTTCTAGGATTCATTCCACAAACAGCTCAGCCTCAGCTTCTAGCAACCACGAGCGAAAGAAGGTGGTTACCACATCAGTATTTTGCATTATATCCTAAAGTGGTGAGTTCAAGGTTGTTCAAAGAGATCCCATTTGGAAAGCAGTGTATGCACCAAGTCTGCATTGTGGTGAAGAGAATCTGTCAGGCAGGTACTGAGGAGTTTCAACATCGTTCAAATCACCTCTTCAATGACATTTACTTAAATGCATAACCTACAAAGGAACACTAATGGAACTCAGAGAACCTCTCAAGGACTGTGTAGTTTGTTCCACAACTCTGTTGTGTTTTTTAGATAGCAAGGAAAACAAATAGATTACTGGTTTATTATAAAAGGATATAACTCGGGAACAACCAGATAGAGAGAGGATAGGGTAAGTTACCTGGGAAGGGGCATGGAGCTTCAATGCTCTCTGAGCATGTCATTCTCCCGAAATCTCTAAGTGTTCATCAAACTGGAAACTCTGCTCTGGTTTTTATGATATTTAGTTCTTTCTCCCAAGTAGGAAATATTAATTTCACTAGTTAAAGGCAAACTATTGTTCAAAAATTCTAATTGATTTTGAATGTAGTAATAATGTTAATGATATATAATGGAGATAATATATTTATTCTGTTATAACTGAATATTTTAAAACAAATTATTTTAAGAGTGGGAGTTTTCACCAGAAAGAAAGAGTCCATTCTATCCCTAAACCAAACCCTGTAGATGGAACATTTTACACACAATCAGATGAGAGGAGGAAGAGAAAGAGCTTCCAAAGGTACTAAGAAAACCAGGAAAATATAATGCCCCAAAAGCCAAGAGTGAATTTCAAGGAAGTTGTCAATTTTAAATGCTATAAATGGATAAATCAAGGAGAAAAGGAACAGAGGAAAATTGCTACCCAGTAGCGAAACTTATCTCTTTTCTGCTAAGCCTTCTTGGGGCTTTGGTCTCTTGATGACTTTAGGGGAGTGGGGGGAAATGAAAATAATTGAGAGGTCCTATCTTCAAAAATCCATTTTACTTCTCTGCTTTCCTCCTTCCGCATATATGAAAAATGATAGCCGTCTCTCTAGCAATGTTTACTGTCCAGCCATTGCTCTTGCCAACTTTAAGAATACCTCTTAACCCACTCTTTAAGTTTCTGCCATAGCCTATCATGACAGAAAACAGCAGATGTAGCAGTGATTGTTGCCAATGCTTGACATTTAATTTAGCTATTCAGAATGATGGCTTTCTTGATGACTGGAATAATCTAAGTTGGATACTGTGTAGGAGGGGGAAAAGGGATAGGGACACAACATCATTTATTATGCCTCCTCCCTTTGTTAACCCTGAAAATACAAGTTTAGGGACTATATAGAGGTCATCTTGATCTCTTCAAAAGCTATGTCTGCAGGGTAGAGCTTCTGGCAAAGATTTTCAAAAGAAAAAAACTCATCAGGCATGTTCCTTTGGCTCTTTGCCCCTTTTAATTTCATCCTTCTTTCTGTGAACACAATGCCCATAAGGGTAGAGCCATCCTACAACCATAACAACCAAAAAAACCCAAAAAACAAAAAGGTGTCACTAGGTATCCCTAGTGATACAGAAAGCAAGGAGCCTAGTTTCTTGCTGACATTTTCACACAGGCACACCGACTATGGACTTATTATATGAGAAAAACAATCCCCTTTGTATTAGTCACTATAATGTAGTTTTCTGTTGCTTGAAGTATGATACTACCCATTCGACTGTCTGCCTTCCTCACTAGATCACAAGCTGTCAGGGACCATGTCTGTATTTGCCACCTGTGCAAGATAGGAAGCTTTCATAGCAAGTTACAGAAAACCCAACTCAAAATTGCTTTAAATTATAAGGAAGTTTATTAACTCACATAATGAGATCCAAAAGTGGGACAGACTTAAGAGCTGACATAATCCCATTATTCTAGCTCCATTTCTCTGCTATTCTTTTGGCTTCCCCCATGTGTTGACCTTGTACATAGGTTGCCGTCAAAAGGATGGTAACAATTTCACACCTCATATCCATGCTCAATCATGTCTAGAGAGAACATGAATCTCTTCTGTAAGTTCTCCTGGAAAAGCTTTTCTGGAAGTATCCTACAAACCTATCTTTGCAATTCACTGAGGTGAACTGGGGAACATAAATGATCCTAACCCTGTCCCTTGCAAGAGGGTGATACTACCTTAAGCAAGTCCAGACCACTCCTGGAGCTCAAGATGCTGAGCTCCAGGAGTGGAGCTGGTATACCACCTGTGGATAAGAGGGATTCCTGAACAACATCAGGATTCTGTCGGGAAGGAAGGAGGGAAAAAATATTGAGTAGGTAAAGAACTCCCTTTTTGTATTCCTAACATCTTGACCACATATTAAAAAAATAAGCCCACCTACGATGCAAAATTTATGCTTATCTCAACAATAAGTTGAGAGAAGGAAGCTTTTCTTATTTATCCTACTACTAGTGTCTGACTCAGTATCCTGCACACACTAAGATCTAAGTTGTTGGTTTTCCTTCTCTGTCAATAAGTCTCCATGAGACAAAAATAGCCTAAATTATATAACCTCCTGAATTCTTTTGTAGATTGCCAGATTTTCTTGCTAATCAATTTTTTAGAAGCTTTTACTTATTTGAGAGAAGAGAGCGAGAGAGAAAGCAAGCATGAGTGGGGTGGGGGGTCAGGGAGCAAAAGGGCAGACGGAGAGGAAGAAGCAGACTTCCCGCTGAGCAGGGAGCCCCATAGGGGGATCAGGATCCCAGGACACGGAGATCATGACTTGACCCAAAGGCAGACGCTTAATCAGCTATCACCCAGGCACCCCTTTTGCTAATCACTTTGACTCCCAAGGCTTAGAGATGCTGGGGTAGACAGAAAAATCCCAAGTCAACAGATTACAATAACAGTAATGTATTAATGTACTAGTGACTTCTTCTGGGAAAGCAAATTATAATGAAATTCTTTTCTTTTTTTTAAAGATTTTATTTATTTGACAGAGAGAGATCACAAGTAGGCAGAGAGGCAGGTAGAGAGAGAGGAAGGGAAGCAGACTCCCCGCTGAGCAGAGAGCCTGATGTGGGACTCGATCCCAGGACCCTGAGATCATGACCAGAGCCGAAGGCAGCAGCTCAACCCACTGAGCCACCCAGGCGCCGCTTAATGAAATTCTTAAAAATTTCTTTTTCTTACCAAAATGAAACTGGAGAGATGAAGATGATGTTCTGCTTCTCTGGGGGCACAGTTGTCAAACTTAAAAATTCCAAATCCTCCAAAAATTCTCTAATTCCAAGATTCTTTACTGTCAATAATGAGGGATGACTACTGTTACTTTTAATAGTTGGTTTTCAGAAAGGCACGAAAATTTCGTATTATCCCCGGAGATTTAAGTCTCTGACAGAGAGCACAAGTACATTGCTTCTATACTAAAATTTCAGTAGGCAAATTTAGATCATCAGTAATTGACTAGGGTACCTCTCTCCTCATCCCATATTTTTTTAAAGTTTGGGGAGTTTGAGCCCCATGTTGGGTATACAGAGATTACTTAAAAACAACAAAAAAAGTTTGGGGCTGTCAGGTGATACTTATTTCCTCTAATAATGTCTCATTAGGGCCACTAACTTAGTCACTACTTGACCAGAATGGTTGGCATGGGTGAGTTTGGTTCACAGAAAGTGCCCCACACTTGAGGACTGATAAACAAGGGTTTGAATCCCAACCCAGACACTGCTGTGACCAGGGCTAACCGCTGAAACCATACAGGTTGTCTTGCAAAACGGGGAGTACAACCGCCGGCTGTTGCCACGGCCAAGACGACAGGAGATTCAGCACGAAAGCACAATTCCAGGCACACGATGTTAATTTAACAATTTAATACATTTGTTTCTTCATCCAAACGTCTCAGCTAATCTTAAACGTCCATACGCCCTCCGAATAGGCCAGTAATTTAGCACAAGAGGCCTGCCTGGGAGATGGGGTTGTGGAGGACCGTCCAACCAGTGCCACAGCCTGGGAGCGAATGAGCTCCCCATCACCGGAATGGGTGCCATCAGGCTCGTCGCGGCCCAGGAACCCGGATGACGGCGTCGCCGAGGCCATATTGCCCACATTTCGCCCGCTGGGGAAAGGGGAGGGGCGGGAGCCAAGGGAGGGCAGCGCCGCACACCGCTTGGAGTCGTCGCGACTCCGGCCACCGCGGCGCGCCGCAGAACCACGTGCCCGAAGGGGGACGTGGGTGGAAACGTGCACAAAATGGCGGAGCTCCACGCCTGGGCCGGAGGGAGCTTAATTGCGGGCAGGCTCTCGTCGGACTCTCCGGCCAGTTTCCGGACTTTCGGAACCGGAAATGGGTCCTACTCGCGCTCCCAGGCAGGAGTGGGCGGGGCTGCTCTCCCGGAAGTGCCTCAGGTCTTGGCTGGGCGCAAGATCCTGCGGCGTCCGTGGCTCCCTAGCAGTGCGCGGTGGAGGGAGGGAACCCGGAAGTTGGCCGCCCTGTGGGGTTTCAGTGCGGTCCCGGGAGGGCGGTGATCCCAAGGTGGCTAGGGAGGGAGAGCTGCAGGACCCGTACCGTTGCCCCTCTCAGAGAGGGAAGCTGGTTTGGCCAGCCCGCGAGTGAAAGCGCTGTTCTCCAGTCCCAAAGGGAAGGGTGGGATGGACGGGCCCCTAACTCCCAGAGAGTCCGCAAAATTCATTGCAGAGAATAGTCGGGATGTGTTCATCGACGGCGGAGGCGTGCGGAGGGTGGCCGAGCTCCTGCTCGCCAAGGTCTCGGGCCCCGAGCTGGACCTGGGGGGCTGGAAGGCACTTCACGAGCTGAATCCCAGGGCCGCTGACGAGGCCGCAGTCAACTGGGTGTTCGTGACAGACACGCTTAACTTCTCTTTCTGGTCGGAGCACGAAGAGCACAAATGTCTGGTGGCCTATAGGGGGAAAACGTACAGCGGGTACTGGTCCCTGTGCGCCGCGGTCAACAGAGCTCTCGACGAAGGTTGGTGCCCCTTTTCCAGGTCAGACCCCACAAACAGTGAGGTTTGGGTTTACCGGGAGGGTCCCGAGGAAGGAGTCGGGAAATGGCATATGTTAATAAGGCGAACTTGAAGTTCTTCATTGCTTCAAGTAGCAGCTCTTACCTGCTTAAAATACAAATGTGAGAAGAGGCTGGAGTTAAGACCTTAGTGAGAAATGATGCTAATACTTGTCATCATGGCAGCTAAGCATACAAGATTTCTAAAGAATGCCACTTTGATGACATCTGAAGAACAAAGGGACAAATACAATACATTTTATGCAGTCAAAATATAGTTGATGTAATATAACAATTGCTAGAAACGGATGAGTAAGTACAGACGAGTCAATAGAAAATGAAGGGTATGCTTCTGATCTTGGAATTCTTCATCCCCTTTTAGTGCATTCCTGTAACACTCACTTGCTTTCTTATGTTGTAAAAGCAAGGGTCTGATGAGTATAAAAGTATGACATTGTTCTTTTTTCCCTAAGGGATACCTATAACCAGTGCCTCCTACTATGCCACAGTGACCCTGGATCAGGTTCAGCATATATTCCGTTCTGACACGGACGTTCCGATGCCTTTGATCGAAGAGAGGCATCGGATTCTTAATGAAACCGGGAAAATTCTGCTTGAGAAGTTTGAAGGCTCTTTTCTTAATTGTGTCCGAAAAAGTGAAAAAAATGCACAGAAGTTAATGCACCTGGTAGTTGAAAGCTTTCCTTCTTACAGAGATGTGACTCAGTTTGAGGTGAGCTGCTTCTGTTGGGGATTTAGAATTAATGGTCTTCTCGTAGTTGACTTTTTTACTTCCGGAATTCCTTTTGAGAATAAAAACTTAAGGTTTGAAGATCCTTCCTTGTGGACAAGGAACAGTAACAAGATCGTTAAGTAGGGTTTCAAAGACGTTACTTTTCTTAGTTTTCTATTTAATGTGTTTGCTTTATTCTTTCTTCTTTGTCCTTTTAAAATGTTTCAAACCTACAAAACACTGAACCTTCAATGTGATGCAACTCAGGGACATTGAGGTCCTTGAACAACTTCAAAATATTTACTTCATTGGATGAAAATCAGAATGTGTTTCTAAATTCTCTCTAATAAGTATTTTTTGAGGCTTTAACGTGTGTATATATTTATACACACACACTGTGTTTTCTTTTTCACACATGGAATACTTGAACAGTGTTATTTTCCTTTTCTTTAAACAGATGTACTTATAAAGCGGTGAACATTTGGTATACCTTCCCACTATATAACTGGCTTCTGTTTTTATAAAATTCTTTTAGAATTCGTTATCGTGTATTTTAACTGTGACAAAAAATTGAAAGCAACTTCAGAGGAATCACATAATATAAATCTATTGAATAAGTTCATGGATGCTTAAATCATATTGAAATTTTTAACCTGCCCTTTTGAAATCACAATGCAACAACTAAAAGAAATTACCAGTAATATTGTTTAAATCACTTTTTATGATTTACAAGGTGTTTGCAAGCACACTCTCATTAGATCCACGGAAGAGATCTGTGGGGCCTAAGGACAAGGATTATTATTGTCCTGTTTGCAGACCAGGAACCAAAGTCTAGAGAGAAAGGTTAACTGGTTTATCATACGTCATTTAGTCAGGAAATAAATAGCTAGCTTTTCAATTCTGTAAAGTGAGAGAGGCCCGATTTTGTATATGGTTATATATTTTTTTTATTTTTTAAAATATTAGCAATAAATGCAGTAAAAAGATGACAAAAACAAAACAAAACCACTGATTACAACGAAAAAGAACTGAAGGGGGTGAGAACTGTCTATAGGGAACCTGGGCTAGAACCTACCAGATGGAGAGAACAGCTTATGGAAAGGTCCTGGAGTGGGAATGTGTCTGTCATGTCCACATGGCTCCCCTTCCCATAGTCTCCATCCCTGGGAGATGGAGCAGTCAAATTCTTCATCGCCTACTTGGACTCCTGACTCTGGAATGCCAATTTCTTTAGTAAGTTGCTCTATTATATCAATGCCAGGATAAGGGTTGTTTGTAAATACCTAGATGAGGGTGTGTAGTTGTGAGAAAGTATAGCTGGAACAGCACCATCTGTCTTCTCCACTTTCAATCTCCTCTTCAGAGTGATCTTGATCTTGGCTTGATTCTAAGTCCTTATTGGGTTCTGTGTTTTTTTCTGGCACTGGTGCCTAGCTCTTCAATTCTGAAACCAAATCTGGATTCTAGACTCATCGGTGTTGAGTTCTAAAGCAAGTCTTTGTTTGATGGCGTAACCTGGGTAAGGATTTTGGTCAGATGCCTTGATGGGGATTTTCAGTTGATCTGTGAATTTGGTGTGTCTGTGTCTCTTGATTCATTGCTATGGTCTTTTTTGGAAAGGTCTCTTAGGCCATGTTGGAACAGAGTTCTGAAATCTAAGGATCAGAAGATTCTTTTCTTTTATCTTTTAAACGTTTTATTCATTTGAGAGAGAGAGAGCGCGCATGAGCATGGGAGAGAGGCAGAGGGAAAAACAGATCCCCCGCTGAGCAGGGAGCCTAATGTGGGGCTCTGTCCAGGACCTGGAGATCATGACTTGAACCAAAGGCAGATGCTTAACCATCTGAGCCACCCAGGGACCCCTGTTAAGCTTCTTTTAATTGCAGGGCGCTTGGGTGGCTCAGTGGGTTAAAGCCTCTGCCTTCGGCTCAGGTCATGATCCCAGGGTCCTGGGATCGAGCCCCATTTTGGGCTCTCTGCTCAGCAGAGAGCCTGCTCCCCGCCCCCCCACCTGCCTCTCTGCCTACTTGTGATCTCTCTCTGTCAAATAAATAAATAAATCTTAAAAAAAAAAAGATTATTTTAATTGGAAGTGACAGACACAAAATTAGAAAAACCTTAAGCAAAATGAAGAATTTTGGTGATAGGAACATCTAGGATCAAGGACTCAATGCCATCAGGATTCAGTGTCTCCTTGTCTCCTCTTTGCTTCTGTTGGCTCTGTATTTCTCGTCACTGCAGACTAGCTTTCTCCATGAAGTAGAAGGTGTTCATGAATTTTGCATCTTATTGCTTCAACCACTGTGAGGGGGGGGGTGCAGGGAGAGAGGTAGACATCCTCTCAGGTACTTTCTAAAATTCCTGGCTGATTCCAATCATCTGGGTGGGGCAGAGACAGTTCCTAGAAAAGAGGCCCTAGGCCACTGCCAAATTTCATTTTGTTCTGATTAACTGTTTTGCTAATGCAGAGGTTACTTTGAGATTTATCTTTGTTTTATTTTGTTTTTAAGATTTTATTTATTAGAGTACAGGAGATGAGGTGGGGTGGGGTGGGGGCTGGAGAGTAAGAACAGGGGGAGTGGCTGAGGGAGAAGCCGACTCCCCATTGAGCAGGGAGCCTGATGTGGGGCTCCATCCCAGGAATCAGGACCTGAGCCGAAGGCAGATGCTGAACCCACTGAGCCACCCAGATGCCTCTATCTTTGTCTTTAAAGTACGTCATTTCGGCCTTTTTAAAGGAAATTCTGGATTACGTTCCTTGGTTCGTCATTCAGGCCATCTAAGTGTATTAGTGTATGAAAGAATCAGATTGTCATTCATGTGGCTAAGAATCCATGTATTCCAGAATCAACATTGGTTATAGCAGAAGAAGGGCTGAGAGTAAATTTAGGATGACTTCAGGATGGAATAAATTCATGACGCCGTGTGGTTTGTTTGCTTAGAAGTAGTCCAGAGTTTTTGTTTTTGTGGAAGAAAGAACGAACTTCTTTTGTAGATGATAATACCAATTTAGTAAGCAGTTTGCTGAGTTTCTGTTTTATTATAGCACAGTGCTTTTGATTTGCTTTGTTGAAAAATTCAATTTTTTTTTAAAGATTTTATTTATTTATTTGACAGAGAGATCACAAGTAGGCAGGGAGGCAGGCAGAGAAAGGGGAGCAGGCTCCTTACTGAGCAGAGAGCTCGATGCGGGTCTTGATCCCGGGACCCTGAGATCATGACCTGAGCCGAAGGCAGAGGCTTAACCCATTGAGCCACCCAGGCGCCCCTCAATTTTTTTTTTAAGATTGTATTTATTTGAGAGAGAGAGAGAGAGAGCGCAAGCAGGAGGAGCAGCAGAGGGAGAGAGAGAAGCAGGCTTTCCACTGAGAGGGAACCCGATGTGGGAAAAAGAAAATCTTTTTTTTTTTTAAGATTTTCTTTCTTTATTTGACAGAGAGAGATCACAAGTAGGCAGAGAGGCAGGCAGAGAGAGAGGGGGAAGCAGACTCCCCACGGAGCAGAGAGCCCGATGTGGGGCTTGATCCCAGGACTCTGGGATCATGACCTGAGCCGAAGGCAGAGGTTTAACCCACTGAGCCACCCAGGCACCCCTAAATAAAGAAAATCTTAAAAAAAAAAAAGGAAAATCCCCAAAATGTAACAAAAATCATACTTAAGGATTCTGACACTTTCTTAAAGGAGTATTATATTTTTTCACTTATTTTTTCAAAAGATTATCATTAGTGTTAGACAAAAGCGAGATAGTTCCTATGATTCCTAAACATCCTAACATAGCACTGACTACATAGTGGGTGCTTTGTTAGTCAATTTACAATTATCTTTGCATACTCATTTAAAATATATGTAAATAAGGAAGGGTGGCCTGGCTGGTTTATTCTGTACAGCATGTGACTCATAATCTTGGGGTTGTAAATTCAAGCCCCATGTTAGGTGTAGAGATTGCTTAAATATAAAATATTTTTAAATGAAATAAAATATACATAAATTACTTTGGGCAATTAACTCCAAATCAAGAGGAATTCTGAGCCTTTTAGGACTGTTTTTGAAGTTGGGAAGGTGTTAAAATCAAGTGTATATTTCTTGTTTTTGTTTTATGGATGTACAGTCCCATAATTATTTGTCCAACTATTTTATTGCAGTAATTATGTTTGATATAGTTTTATTTTTTAAATTGAATTTTATGTCATGTTTTCAGTTTTATGTGATAATAAGCAATACTGCACAGTCGTTTAATACTTGTAATTATTTTCTTAGAATGGAATCATAGTAGTGGAATTGCTGAGTCAGAGCATGGCCTGGATTCTCAGGCTTATAATACAGAAAAGTGCTAACGGTTCTCCAAAAAGGGAACGAAGATAGCAGCAGCAAAGGAGAGTGCTCTTTTCCTGGCCCCTTCATAACATGGTGATGGTATTGGTTGCTGTATTTTTTAATATTTAACAAGTTGCATAAAATAGTCATAATTGTTTTTTAACATATATTTATTTACTGAGATTATCACCTGTTTTTAAACATTATAAACAAATTGATAAACTTTGAAAATTTTAATTCAGACATATTTTAAATCAGTGATTTCCCAACCTGGTGTACTCCAGAATCAGTCAGAAAGCTTTAAAATTCAGATATATTTCTAAAGCAACTCTAATTTAGAGCATGTAGTAACAATGCAAAAGTCCTAATGAAGAAATCAGCTTCCCTCAGGCTATTGTCTTTACTCTGACATACTGATAAACGTGCATGTATGGTCTTTTTGCTACTTTATTTTTTTTTAAAGATTTTTATTAATTTATTTGCTAGAGAGAGAGCACACATGAGAGAGAGCGAGCTAGAGTACAAGCAGGGGGAACAGCAGGCAGAGGGAGAAGCAGGCTCCCCACTAAGTAAGGAGCCCATGCGAGACTCAATCCCAGGACCCTGGGATCATGACCTGAGTGGAAAATAACCACTTAACTGACTGAGCCACCCTGGCATCCCCTTTTTTGATATTTTAATCAACATTTTATGTTACTCTTAAGCATTTGTAATTTTTTTAAGATTTTATTTATTTATTTGACAGAGAGAGAGGCAGTGAGAGAGAGAACTCAAGCAGAGGGAGAGGGAGAAGCAGGCCTCCCACCGAGCAGGGAGCCTGATGCTGGGTTCCATCCCAGGACCCTGGGATCATAACCCGAGCCAAAGGCAGATACTTAACGACTGAGCCATCCAGGTACCCCAAGCATTTGTAATTCTTGACCTTTCTTAATTTGTTCATGATAAATGTGTTGAAGATAATCAACTCATGGTCATGGATTTTTTTTTCATTGCTAATAATTATTTTATAAAGGTACTGTTTTGGGGCACCTGGGTGGCTCAGTCGTTAAGCGTCTCCCTTTGGCTCAGGTCATGATTCCAGGGTCCTGGGATCAAGGCCCTCCTCGGGCTCCCTGCACGACAGGGAGCCTGCTTCTCTTTCTCCCACTCCCTCTGCTTGTGTTCCCTCTCTCGCTGTCTCTCTCTCTCTCTGTCAAATAAATAAATACATAAATAAAAACCTTTAAAGGTACTCTTTTGAAAATATTTTATTCACCAAGCAATATTATGGGACATGTAGGGAATTGTTATTTTGGAATTTGCTGGTATTTTCAGTGATATCAGTTAATATTTTAGAGATGAAGAATTTGATTACTAAAATCATTTGATTAGTAAAACCATGTCAACTTGTGAAGAAAATGTTTTATAGATGACTTGAATTTATTTTTAGAGCCCTCACTTAAATCTTATTTTTTGTTTTGTGTTTTTCAAGGGTATTATAATCTAATCTTTGTGATATACTGGTTGGCTACCATGGAAACGGTGGTCATGATGCGACAATTTATGTTTTGTTAGATGCTAGCACTGATTTTGTTACATAAGTCTGGTTCCTGTATTTTTCCAGTTTGATCTTTGGATATTATTAAAAATAGGAGATAATAGCTTCTATGTATTACAGTAACATGATAGAATAATTGTGTTTGATGTACAATTTTATTTTTTATATTAAGTTTTATATCTTATCTTTAATGCACTAGACTTGAATATAAACCTAGTTTATATTGAATATAAATCTAGTTACCAGGTTTATACCAGGAAACTACCATGTAGTTTCCAGTCCAACAGTTGCCAGGTTAGCATATTTTGTTAGGTTTGGAACTATAGACTGTTCCCAGATGATGTACAGATACTTTTTTTTTTATGGTTTTATTTATGTGAAAGGGAGAGAAAGAGAAAGCGAGTTTGCTGGAGTCGGGGGAGGGGCAGAGGGACTAGCAGACTCCCTGCTGAATATAAAGCCTGAGATCATGACCTGAGGCAAAGTCAGACACTTAAGTTGACTGAGCCACCCAGGCACCCCTAGGGATACTTAATGGTGATTTGTTCCTGCCCCCCCACACTCTAATTTATAGACATTACATCATGTCAGAAAATGAGCGTGTGTGTTTACTCTTGAAAACAAGATACTGAATTTCTTAAAGGTGGTCTTAGGCAATTTACTTCGTAAAAGTAGTTCTGGATTGATTGCAATAGGTATATCTTAAGGTTAGGCATTATTAGGTTATTTCTCATTAGGACAGAGTATCATTGGAGTTTTTTAGTAAATAAGGAATCTATGTTATCATCTTAAGGAATTTTCACATGGAACCTTTCCTTGAAGGATTTAATTTCACTTTTTATTTAATTACTTATGTCATTTACTTATTAAAACATTCTCCAGGGTGGTCAGGATAAATTTGGGGAGCCAGTAATACTGATGATTCTCTTTTAGCAGACAAGCAGCTATAAACAATGATTTGAGATTATTACCTTTGGGATTAGGATTAGATTGTAACTATCCTGTCTTTCCATAGTTTATGCTGATCTGCATTCATAGTTTTGTAGAGAGTTTTTGAGTTAAATTATACCCACTATCCTATAATGCCTGGTTAAATTTGCTGCTTCGTTGTGTAAATATAATTAAAGTTTATTTTGTTATGTGGGTTTACATATTGATTTTGATCATTTCCAAAAAGGTAAAGTTGATAAATTCTGACTATTGATCAGTTATGTCTTCATCTCTGGAATATGTTTATCATATTATCTGAATGGCATCAGTTAAAAATTGAATATTGTAATTCTCTTCAGAAATGAATTTAAGAATTTTTGTTTTCTTCTTTATATTCTTCTGTATTTTATATAGTTAACATGAATTATGTTGCAGTCAGAAAAATTTAAGAAGTTTTCTAAAGAAATACTGCCCAGTCATTAAAAAGAATAAGCAGGTGGGTTATAATGACACAGGAATATATATATGAGGTAATGTCATTAAAAAAGAACATTAAATAATAACCACAATTACCACAATTGTATTTGATGTGCCTTAAAAAATACAGGAAGTAAATTTGGAGTGAAAAAGATAATATTTATTAGACTCCCTTTTTTTTTCTATAAAAGGTCCATAAATTCTTACCAACACTAAAATTATTGCACCCTTGAGAAATGTTTTCAATGTGTGCCCTTTTTTTATAGCATACATAAAAGCTAGCAGATACCTAGGTGACATTTATGTTCTCTTCACTCATCAGGGGAAAAGAATTTCTTTTTACAAACGGGCCCAAATCCTCGTAGCGGATACGTGGAGTGTGTTAGAGGGGAAAGGAGACGGCTGCTTTAAAGACGTCTCCAGTATCACCATGTTTGCCGACTATAGATTACCTCAGGTTCTTGTTCACCTGGGAGCCCTGAAGTACTCCAAGGAACTACTGGAAAAGCTACTCAAAGGTTTGCCAGCTTAATTAAGACATTCTTTGTAATACTATGAATTGTGGTTGAGTCTCTGTCTGGTTTCTTTCACATAAGTTCTCCTTTCCTTAAAAAAAAAAAAAAAAACACTGTTTATTGTTAAAAGCACATGTAAAGAAAAATGCAGGGGCAATTGAAATAAGAGAAAATTGCTTTTTGTTGTTGTTTACACTGTAGAATATAGGAAATTACACTATTTGGTCATTATAGTTTCAGAACCTCATAATAAAATGAAACCGAAGTTTTTGTTATCTGAAGGTGTGTGATGGACGCTAGGTCCTTCTGATGTAGTGTTTGAAGAGTATTAATTAAGCAGTGAAGAGCATACTACCCTATGAAGTAAAAGGTGGCCTGAGAGATGAGTAAGATGCAGTGGGTTTCAAGTCAGGAGGCTCTAAGGTCTGCCACTGGGTTACCTTGCATGAGTCACTTGCTTTTTTCCTTTCCTTTCTTTTCTTTTCTTTTCTTTTTTCTTTTTTTAGGAGTTTATTTATTTATTGGACAGAGAGATCACAAGTAGGCAGAGAGGCAGGCAGAGAGAGAGGAGGAAGCAGGCTCCCTGCTGAGCAGAGAGCCCGATGTGGGGCTCAATTCCAAAACATGACCTGAGCCAAACACAGATGCTTAACTAATTGAGCCACCCAGGTGCCCCAAAGCAAGTAGTTTTTATGACTGAATAACTTTCTCTTGTGAAATAGGTTTCAATCACCCAAAATAAGAATAACACAGAATATGAAGATACCATTAGCTGTGGTTGCTTCTAACTCGTTTTTATGCTGCCTTGGGCAATCCATTTTGTCCCTCTGTTTCTTCATTTGAAAAATAACAAGCTGTCCTATGTTGTAATGCTCATGTGGTAGATCATTAATTGTTGGATACCTTAAACATTTAAGCATTCTGGGCTTTTTTCCCATGTAGCCACGTGCAGCTGATCTTTTTTTGGTCCATGTATACACTGCTTATTCCTACCCGTAAACATTCCCTTTCCTGGTTTCCCTCACCCCAACTTTTTTTTTTTTTTCCAGTTCAAATCCTACACATCCACAAGGCCTTAGCTCAGATGCTACCTCCCCCACATAGCTTTTCGCAGCTTTTCATGATTTGTGCATCTTCTCCTTCTGAATGTTTGTAGCACGCAGTTGTCTCTGCTACTGTGAGGAGAACCCTGCTGAGAAGGGATCATGCACCATAGCTGTACAAAGTGGTTTGCATTTTCTTTTCTTTCTTTTTTTTTTTTAAGATTTTATTTATTTGACACAGAGAGAGAGAGATCACAAGTAGGCAGAGAAGCAGGCAGAGAGAGCAGGGAGGCAGGCTCCCTACTGAGCAGAGAGCCTGATGTGGGACTCGATTCCAGGACCCTGAGATCATGACCTGATCCGAAGGCAGAGGCTTAATCAACTGAGCCACCAAGGCGCCCCTGGTCTGCATTTTCTTGTGCCATCTATTGCAACTACAGAGGCTCTTGTCCAGCTGTCCAGCTGTAGCTGTTGTGACTGCCTCTGTTATGTCCAGAGTGTGAACTCATTGCTTTGCTTCCTAGTTTATTTAAGCAAAGTTGGACTTTTTTCAAAAAGTGCTTCACTAGCAAACTAGAGAAGAAACAAAAACTGTAAACGTAAAGTAGTACACACAAGTATAGCACACTAGGTTTTGAAAACTATCTTAAGTGGAATCTAGAACCAGGTAGCTTGACTAGATGAGATAGAACCTTCCTTAACTGGCCTTCAGTGATACATCTTTCAAATTTGATGATGGGCTGCACTTACATGTATTTTTCCCTCTCTTCTCTTCTGAATTATCTCCAGGCCAGCGCTTGGAAGACCTACCCAGATTTCTGTCCATTTTATCTTTTTTTTTTTTGGAGGGGGGGAGTAAATACAGTCCTCTCACTTTATTTTAGTATGAATTCAGATGTTTTTTCTGTCCATTTTATCTTTAACCCATCTTCACCAAAGGCGTATTTTTTAGCCAATTATATATACTGCCCATCCAGTTTGGCTAAATTTAGATTCTTCACTGGGATTCTAGGACTGACACCAACCATGGTATTGAAGGCCCACCCTAATCCAGTATGACCTTATCTTAACTTGATTACATCTGCAAAGATCCTAGTTACAAGTAAGGCCATGGTGCACCTGTACCAGGAGTTAGGATTTGAATATGACTTCTTGGAGGACACAGTATAATACTATAGTTACTTATTGGATGGAGGGGACGTTAAGTAATGCTATTTAAGATCCCAGCATCTGGCTGTGGCGTTCACTTACTCTGTCTCCTTGATCCTATAGGCAACTGAGTTGATGAGCCCAGTTCTAGTCTCAGTGGCAAAGCGCAGCCAGTGCCCATCTTGCAGGATCAGCTCACCCTAGAGGTGGGCACCGAAGACATCAGGGCCTGTGGAGCTCACAGCTACATACTCAGGGAGGGCTTGACTGGAGGATCCTGAATCCAAAGAACAATCGGGGTCTTCCTTCCTCAGGTGAACAACTTTGATTTCCTAGGTTCTCCTTGGTGCATTTAGGATGTACCTAAGACGATGTTCAGTTTTTTCAAGTGAGAAAAGAAGGTATTCCTTCTTTGGCCCCCTTGACGTCCTCCAAGTTTTGCAATGTTTTTTTTCCTGGCCTCAGATCCAGTTTTAAAATCCTTTGTTTTCAAGAATTTGATAATCTTGCTGTCATATTTTTAAGTTTCTGGTGAGCCCATGTACACTTAGCAACTGTTTATTGGGGAGCTGTATGTGCAAGGTACTCTGCTCTTCCTGGGAATATTGACGCAACCCTCTCCTTGTGGAATGTGCGATTTTAAATTAATGCCTGAGTTTAGAAGTGATTTAAATGACCCCAAATCAGGTCTGTGTAGATTTTATGTCATTAATGTACTTCTTGGTCTGTTTTTGACCCCGCTTGCAGGAGAAATGCTCTCATACGGAGATAGGCAAGAGGTAGAAATCAGAGGGTGCTCGCTTTGGTGTGTTGAGCTGATCCGGGATTGTCTTCTGGAGCTGATTGAAAAAAAGGGTGAAAACACTAGCGGGGAGATCAATTCTGTTCTTCTGGATTATTATTTGTGGGACTATGCCCGTGACCACAGAGAAGATATGAAGGGAATTCCTTTTCATCACACGCGCTGCATCTATTATTGACCCAAAGTGCAAACGGATCCAAAGAAAACTTGCATTTTTGTATCACATAATCATTTGTACAGTTTTGCCTTAGTATTAAGAGAAGGTAGTAGGCGTGAGAGCAACAAGAAATGTGATTACCCAGTCTCACTTAAAAAATGTTTCCTGACCTGTTACTCTGCGTTCCCAACTTTTGTCTGCTTGTTGAGTTTTGATCACATTTTCCCTTTCTGTTGGCACATGACAGGAATAATGAAGGAACTGTAATGCTTTCTTTAATCTCACATCTCTTAAAATTAATCATGCTTTATAATGTGATTAGTCATCAGTGATAATATTTCATCCATTCAATTGGTATCTTTTCTTAAGGTGTACCAGTTTCTTATATACCTTAATCCTTTGATATGGGGGGTAGGGTCTTTGCTGTATGAAAGCTGCGGCTTTTGTACAAATCAATCTTGACAGCTTATTTTAAGCTTCTCATTGGTACTGACAATGGTTTTTGTACATAGTGATTGTCAGTTTAGGAAAGCTATCTAATATTCCTTTTTTTTTTTTCCTTCAGTGTAACTATATTGAAATTGAATAAAGGTTTTAAAATTTTTTCTTAAACCTGGATTGGATTTTTTCATTAAAATAGAATTTACCACATCTAATTTTAAAAGGCTTACAGTGAGGGGTGCCTGGGTGGCTCAGTCGGTTAAGCATCCTAACTCTTGATCTCAGCTTAGGTCTGGATCTCAGTGTTGTGAGTTTAAGCCCTGCTCTTGGGCCCCACACTGAGCATAGAGCCTACTTTAAAAAAAACAAGGTTTAACCAAATTTCATTATTTGCTTTATGTTGTCAAAATTTCGTTACCTACCAAGCACTCATTTCCCACCGTCGCCTCCACTTTCCTTCTAACATAATCTTGATTTTTGTTAGCTACCAACCTTGTCGGCTCACTGTGACTGTGTGTGAATGAGAAAGGCATCATTTCCCCAAGCACTTTACTGCCATCTGCTGAAAATTTATCATACTAACCTTACAAATGACAATGACTAATAGTGAACACATCTGGCCCTGCACCCACTCCTCCGCTCCCCCCACCACCCATGTGCACTGTACAACTAGCACCACCATAAGTAGCTTTGTCTTTATCCCTCCCATATAGGACTCAGGGAGGGTGATCCCATCTTCATCTCGAAAGGCAGACTGACTCAATATGAAAGGTTTATTGATGATAATTCTATCCTTCTGCATGTGATTACTTTAGTAAGGGGTACATATATAATCTCCTGGCCAATGACATTGGAGGGGAAGTCTGCAGGGGGAAGCTTCTGGGAAAAGGTTTCTTCATTTTGAAGAAAGAGATAGAAGAGAAGGTTCCACTTCCTCTGAGCAGTGTTCGGTCTGAACGGGATGCCCGAAGCTGTTGGTAGCCCTTGTGTGGAACCAGAGCCCGGCTGCACCTGCTCTGAGGGCGCCTGTCCCAGCTATGGACCTCATTCCTGAGCTGATAAACACATTGCCTGATTGCCACCATTTTCAATGAGTCTTCTGTAACTTGTAGTAGAAACTATCAAAACTAATAATTTGCAATTTAACCCACTCTCAGGGGTGTCCTGCCGCCTTCTTGCCCCTCTCCCTCTCTCTACTCCTGTCCCCTTTCTTCCCTTTCCTCTTTTTTTTCTCTTCCTCCTCTCACTTCTCCCTCTTCTCCTCTCCCCTTTGTCTCCTTCTTCCTTCAGGTCCAGCCAGCCCTGGGGCTTCCTGTTTTCCTAATCCATCATAGAAGACAGGGAAGGCAGTCCAGTGGTGCTCTTTTGTGTCCAAGACATAGCTGTCTTTTCTTTTGTGCCACTGAGCATAGCTTGGACTCATGACCCACAATGACGTTCTAATCTGGACAGCAGGGCTGAAGAAACAATGACGCTGAAGAGGGCAGGGGTTCCTAGGAAGGTTCCAGCAGCTACCACATGTGTTTTTGCTTTCAGCACTGACTACAACTTAGTCACATGACCACAACTCATGACCTCCAGGGAGGGCAGGAAAGTAGTCTCTCTTGTAGGAATTATGTACCAGCCAATCTATGTAACAAGCACGGATGGATATTGGCAGAGAGCAAGTTTTCACTGCTGTGCATGGATTTTATGACTTTCATACCTAATACGGGCTAAGAATTTAAATAACATTTCACTTCATGGTTTTAACAGCTGAGGATCATTTTACAGACCTATTATTTCATTGGGGATTGCAAAATTGCTCTAACATTGTTGGTTTTGTGGGTCTGTGCAAGGATAACTCCTTAATGGATTTCAGGGTCATCTGGAGGAACATATGAACATGGAGCTGGCCCGGGGCATTCCGGAAGATGAGAACATTGAAATAGGCTCTGGAAAGGGTTTTTTGGTTTTGTTTTGTTTTGTTTTTGGTCATGTTGATTCATTCTACACACCTTCTTAAACACAGTTAATGAAAATGGGCAGAACCCCAGGAGTGCCCTCACCACAGCCCCGCATCTGGAGACGTCCTTGGTTTACTGTTGTTACAGGATTTCGTTTCCTTCAGTGCTTGCGGTTCTCGGTCACCCCATTTGGAGGAATGAGGAGGTAAACCAGACCAAGAGTGGTGGGCAGCAAAGTTTATTGAGTGATAGTACAAAGCTCCTGCAGAGGAAGGGACCCCCAAGAGGACTGCCACCGACATTTCTAAGTCAAGGGTTTTTTGTTTTGGGGTTTTTTTTTTTTTGAAGATTTTATTTATTTATTGGACAGAAAGAGATATTACAAGTAGGCAGAGAGGCAGGCGGTGGTGGGGAGGGGATGGCGGGAAGCAGGCTCCCTGCTGAGCAGAGAGCCTGATGCCCCAGGAGCCTGAGATTATGACCTGAGCCAAAGGCAGAGGCTTAACCCACTGAGCCACCCAGGTGCCCAGTCTAGGGGTTTTTAATGGGCTTCCTGGCAGGCTGTTTTCATATGATTAACCCTCCAAGCACAGGTCACCTGATCAGGTTTTTGTCATCTACCTATCATGTGGGAAGGCTCCTTCCAGGGTGGTGCAAAATCCTTTTAAGGTGGTTTCCTCTAAGGGCTGGTGGGCTTGTCCCCACCTGTCTTTCTTCTGGCTCCCTTTGGTTTTTGTCACTCAACTAGTTTCCTAGCAGAAATGGGAGCATTAGTAATGAAGGATAGTAAGAAGAAAGGCAGCCGGGGACAAGGGCATCCCCCCTCCTCCCTGTACCCCTTTTCCTTCTTTCCCCGAAAGAGGAAACCAACCTTAAAAGGAAAAAGACCCCATCCTGTTATTCTAGGTTTTACTCAGTGCCCCAACTTTAAGTTAAGTCTTTCGTCTGGGAGGACTTAAAACTTGAAATGGGAAGGAGAGGTGAACCATGAGAGACTATGGACTCTGAAAAACAATCTGAGGGTTTTGAAGGGGCGGAGGGTGGGAGGTTGGAGGAACCAGGTGATGGGTATTGGAGAGGGCACGGATTGCATGGAGCACTGGGTGTGGTGCAAAAACAATGAATACTGTTACGCTGAAAATAAATTAAAAAAATTAAAAAATATATATATATAAAAAAAACTTGAACGGGACAGAAAGGAAGGGAATGGCCTTGGGTGTCCTAACCCAGGCCCAGGGCCAGCTCAACAGCCAGTGGGATATTTAAACAAAGAGCCTGATCTGGTGGTCTGCGGATGGCTGGCATATCCTCTGTCAGTGGCTGCCCTCTTGGTCCCCAAGGTTGCGAAACACCACCCTGGAAGGAGCCCTCCTGACTGGGTGACAGGCTCATGAAGGGTTAATCAGATTCAAATAACCCACACCAAGGAGCCCATAAAACCCCCTAGATTTAACCACCAAATCTGCAACCTCCTCGGGTCCCCTCCATCCTTGGGGGCTCTGTACTATCCCTGAGTAAACTTTGCTTTGCTGCCACCACACTCTTCACGTGGTCCACCTCTTCATTCTTTGAAGCCACGTGACCAAGAACTTCTGGCACTAAGGGAAAAGAAATCATGCAACATTCGTTCTTATTTCTTTGTGTCTCAATTTCCTTTAATAAAGCTTTTGCTCTGTAACGAGTTCAAAAACTTTTTGGCTTTTTTTTTTTTTTTTCATACTTCCTAAATTCTTTAGCAGCTCCCTGATGATTTGTCTCTCTATAAGCTCAAGTAAAGTGGCCATGGGACCAAGTCAGTTCCCTCCAATGGAAGCAAACAGGTTGGGCTAATGACTTGTGTGTGCATGAGGTGGCTCAGTAAGAGGACGGTTTCAGGGAGAGTTTAAAGATGCAGCTCTCTCTAGATTGGATGCTGTCAGGGGCAATTGGACCTTTGGCTCTCAGTAAATCTTGTCTATGAAGAGGGCAGTTTAGAGTAAGGTTGAAGTGGAAGCCATTCAGCAGATGCCACCCAATTTAGCCAAGACAGAAGGATGTTTGGTACTGTGTGTGCGGCACAATGGCCTTGTTTTTGTCTGTGCCTGGACAATAAGCAGCCTTATTTCGACTCACTTTATCGTGGTCTTGATATTGGTGTTCTGTGAGACTCTGTTCAGCAGGAGCCTACCACGCAGTGCTGTGAGGGGGTGTGTGTGTGTAGGTGTGTGTATGAGTGTCTGTGTGTGTGTGACTGTGTGTGTGTGTGTGTGTGTGTGTGTGGACAGCTTTCCCACAGGTTGCGTTTGTTCCTTTCACAACCTTTAACTTCCCCCTGCCTAGCACTAAAGAAATGAATAGATATCATTCGATTTAATTGGGAACTCATTTATTGAGGTCCTTCACCGCCCTCCCTCCCCTGAAGCTCAATGGGTCATGGTTTAATAATCTGGTTGAGGAGGTAAAGGTTGAATGAACCACTGCAGCCTTGAGGCAACTTCACCTTCTTTTCCCTTGTGAGTCTGTGACCTGTCTCTCTCAGTGTCTATCACTGTTTCCTTTTTTTTTTTTAATTTGGTTTTTGATTCTTAGCTGTTCAGTGGATATGACTGTCAAGACAAAACCTGCTCAAGTAAGGAGGTTTTCTTGTTCAGCATATTGTACCGTGAAAAACACCCCACATCCAAAGAATGGAGTCTCTTGGTAGGGCGGTGTTGCCTTAGCCTTTTCTAGGGAGGAGTAGACACATGACAGGTGGTGGGGGTTTACAGGTGGGGTGTTTTGCAGTTGGAAGGCTCACCACATTGAACAGGATTTGCAAGTGCTTATCTCCCTGTCTAGCTGGTTTCAGGGAGACAGAGGGTTCTAATCCCAGCTAATCATTAACAACACAAAGAATGAGGGATTGGACAGGCAAGGTCTGGCTGTGTTAGCAGGTTTAGGCAAAAAGGGAAAGATCTGTGTTAGGCCTTGTCACAGGTGAACAAGGGAGACATGAGAAAGAGTCAAAAGCTGTCTAACTCAAAAATATTGACTATAAAATAAAAAACTAATAAGCACATGGGGGGACTAAAGCATTTGCAAGATTCCTTTCACGCATAAAATTCACTGACTCGGGGGGCGCCCGAGTGGCTCAGTGGGTTAAGCCTCTGCCTTCAGCTCAGGTTGTGATCCCGGGGTCCTGGGATCGAGTTCCGCATCGGGCTCTCCGCTTGGCAGAGAGCCTGCTTCCTCCTCTCTCTCTGCCTG